GAGTAGGCCCAATAGCAGTTGGCGGAGCCAGAACCCCTAGAACAGTTGGAGCGAACCGCAGGTCATCTTAGTTACCTGTCCTGCCAAATCAACTCTTTCACTCAAACTACTCAGACTGTTTCCGCTATTTTCAGGCACTGTGATCTCGTGGCTGGAGCTTTAAAACCCTTTAATCACTTTCGTTATGATCTGGCAAGCTCCGAGTTGCCGAATCCAGATGTTTGCCTGCCAGTCAGCCGCCTTCACCCTAAGCCCTCCTTAACTTGCCTCAGTTTATGGACACGCCTCATCTATCCCTCTCCCCCCCCCTAGGTCTCAGCAAAATAGGTAATTAGGCGATGTCGTTAGCACGCTTGTTATTGCAGGGTTTAGGGAATCCAGAAAGTCCGGAAACTTTCCACCGCCAGACAGAATCAAGTTGATGACTCCGAACTACCTGAATTGGCGCATCGTGTCCTGCATTTCGGCTATCGCAGCGCTGCAAATCATTAATCCTCTTATTGACTGCTAGTCACGGTTCCAGGCTTTTACATTCTGACTGCCTGTCCTGCTCGGCGTCACACCGTTTATGGAAGAACGAGGGCTACAAGAGCATTTGCTGCCAGTCTGCAGGGGGACTAACGTACAAATGAGCCTTCTAATTGGACAGTTTTATACTTAGGAAGCATGTCTAGAAGGCCCGAAACCGCCATCCGAGGGCCTGTTAGAGGAGGCTGAACGATCACTGATTCGGCGCCGGATCTTACATGCAGCCTAGAAAGACCAAAAATGGACCTTCTTTCAGGAGTTATGAAATAAAATCTCACCAGAACGTTTTTCAGCCTGCCTTATTACTCGAGATTGCAAATCGAAAGTACACACTGGTCGCACGTGATTGACTCGGAGCTGAAGATCCTATTACTCTGTCAGGCGAGCTCTCAGTTGTTCGCCGCGAAGTCAGTATGCGGCTTCTTGTGCTGACGACTTTGCATGCAGCAGTCGATGTTTGCCGAGGCAGGCTACGAAAATTTCCCAGCTTCTGATGGACCTCATGCGTCCGGAACTAAATGGTAGTTCGCAGATCTTATGTAGTTGCCCTCCTTGATAAAATGAACAGTCGCACCTAGACCTCTAAACTTGGTGCGGCCAAACAACGACACAAAATGCAAGCCGTTTGGTCAAGGCCTTCCTTCTGTGTCCATGTCGTCTGCCTACTGATTTGGCATAAGTAAAAGCAATGTCTACACTGCGTCAAACTGCCGCTCGTGTGCACGTCTGTTCTCAACCCGCCTATTTTCCACTCCACAACCTCCAGTCGCCTATTGTTAGACAGCTTAAAGGAGGAGGTATTGTTTGATAGAACATCTCATCCGCTGCAAATGACCACAGGACATATTAACCCCGTCAACGGTGAATACACTTCTATGACTCATGTGGAAGTGTCGGGTCGCCGATCGGACTGCAGGAGCATACTTAATCCCTGCTGGCGTGGGGTCTTTGGAAGCGGCCAAAGAATGATACAGTAGATGTGTCGATCGATACTGAGGGGGACCGAAGTAAACATTTCTGTCTGAGTTGTCGTCAAAAGCCAGTCAGAAGGTGGATCACCAAATGGCGGGAGAAACGGGATAGGCCGCTTCTGACTTAGGTGTCGCCATCAGCCATCCGTAATTTCGGCTTGGGTGGAACCGAGGTTTCGAGCCCGGTCTCGTTGGCTTCTGGGCGATGGGACTTGGACCGCCGCTGGCGACGACGTCCCCCGCACACCCAACGGAGTGGGCGCGGGAACGGTATGGTGAAGGACCCCTATGCGGTGTCGGCATACTGTGGCTCCTGTCATAGGGGGATGATAGAAATGGGGGGGGGTTTACTGATGGGACAACATGCCGGACAGCAGGCTGACCAAGCATATGCAAACACAGAAGACAGTCGGTGGCAAAAGCGATGCTTTTGCTTCACCCTACCGTTGCCGTGGGCGTTGCACCGATGATTTGCGCGTGAATCAGTTTACACGGAGGCGGACTTGCGCGCCATCTGCTGCATTCTTTCCTCACTCGTTCGCCGATGCCGAGGAGACCGGAGATGCACTCTGGTGCAGTGACTGGAAGGGCTGTCTACGCGTGCCACACACAATCTCGTCCCACAGACGTGTGCCAGACTTTGCAGAACAGAGGGGGCTGTTCGTATCCCACATGCCGCAGAGGTCACATGAGGTAGAAGCCAGTGAGCCTGACTCTTGGTCTATCATTCAGTCACCCCACGTACTCACAGTACTGACTACGAGGACTCAGTCCTCCAGTCAGTTAGCGGTCTTCCAAGTCAGGGTGCTTCTCACATCATGATATATCCAAACGCGCAAGCTTTATTGTAGTTAGAAATGGGCTAAAGTGCAGTTCCAATGTCGTTTCATGTACCTATAGACTGTCGGAGACTCTACCGTCTAATGCAGAGGTTGGGAGCAGTTGTAGCGTGCGGCCATCATGACCGGTCTGGCGTCATTGTTCAGGACCTTGTTGCCTCAAGGTCATTCATCCCTTTGCAGTGAGCCGTAGCAGACGTGCTGACCTGAAGTCACGCGACCGACAACTCGGGCATACCTGCGCCGCACAGTTGCCGCTGCCCATGCGCAACTTGAACGCGCCATCCACTGCAGCCAGCAAAACAGAGCTTTGAACTGGACTTGTATGGCCGAGGTTTGCTCGTAACATTCATCTCGAAATACGACAGGCTGTCGGCAACTCTGTTTTCCTATCTATGGGCACGATGCGTGACACAGGAAAAACAGCAGGGCGAAGGGAATTTTGTGGCGGTTGAGTTCAGCCACGTCTGGAGGAGGCGCTTCGATTTGTCGTGACCAAGCGGTGTGAGTGTGTGCGGTCTAAGCGCTACTATAATCAGAACAAATTCTAGTGTTGTAGGGTGAGGGCGGAAGGCACCAGAATGAGGGGTTTATTATGCACAGAACCCGGAGTTGTCCTCTCAGGTGGCAGTGGCCACTGGCAAAACCAGGGTTGGTTTTGACTGCGTCCAGTCATGCCTGAGAGTCCTTGAGATAGTGGTGGCAGCCCCTTTTGTAGGCTCGTGGGCCAAGCTCAGGTGGTGTCCAGTCAGTGTGTGCATCATTTGCTGAGGGGTGGTGTCCCGGTGGCTAGTTTTGCTGGTTGCAGGGGGTGGCGCGTTCAAGTGGCGCATGGGTAGCTGCGGCTGTGCGGTCGCAGGTGTGCCCGAGCTGTTGGTCGTGTGACTTCAGGTCAGCGCGTCTGGGACGGCTCACTGCAAAGGGATGAATGGCCTTGAGGCAGCGACGTCTTGAACAATGATGCCAGACCGGTCACGATAGCCGCACGCGACACTGTGACTGGCAGGACTATAGAAATCCGTCTACGCGTGCCACAATCGACCCGGTTACTTTACTTTCCGGCGTGCGCAAAAGACCATGTTTCCCGCCCATGCGAGATGCCTGTGTTCTGACATGGGACTTTGACTTGGCCATAAGGACGACGACGACGACGACGACGACGACGACGACGACGACGGAATGATGGCATGCAATCTGCCGGAAAGAGGTATGTTCGCACGGAATGTTTGGCGTGGCGTGTAGGAGGCTCAACTGTGACCTGGGGAGGTGTGTGTATGTGAACAGGGTAGGGCAAGGTGCGAGTATAGGGTCCAGTATGCGATTTTATCGAAAATTTGAAAGGAAGCGGATATGGCTGAATAGGCCCATGTGATGAATGAATGTTCTTTGGCTGTCTGAGCAGGTAAAACGGGAGAGACATGTGCATATTGGGGCTCGATGAATTTGCAAGAGTCCTGCCAGATTGATGCTTATGTGTGCTCATGGATTGTGGCTGCTGCTGCTTCTTTGAATGTCTTCAAAACCCCCTCTTCATCCTAATTAGCCACCGTTGTCGGACTAGACTAACACTGATTGCCTCAACTTACCCCCTCGTAGTTTTCACACCCTACTTGGAAGAAAGTGTGAATAATTATCGAATTTTTTTTAATATCTAGGTTTTTTAAATATTCGGAAGCTAAACCTTAACTTCGTGAACTCTTTCCCCAAGGCTGGCTCCTTTAGAAGACTACTTGCACTTGGTACGGCTGCGGTCATGCCTGATGTAGCCGGCCTCGATTATGTCCGGAACTGTACCTCTCCCCGCGTGACGATCCGCGACAGCAGATCTGGACAGTTTGACCCATCCTCTTCGCCAACGACGGAGATTGAATACCAAAGGTCCAAGAACGACCTCCATGTCTTAACGAACTCTGTCGAGCCAGATTTTGAGTTGACCCCCTCCATTTTGACGCATCCAACCGGGTAACGGTATCGGTTCGAGAACAGTAACACTGAGCTCCTGAGGTGGACGACGAAGAACATGCCCAAACCACTTTAGTCGTCTTTCTTGAATGGCCCCGGTTATACTTGCGATGTTGTCGCAGTGAGTATGGACTGTGTCATTCGAGATGAAATCGTTATACTTAACTCGCAGGATGGTCTTCAAGCAGTGGTGATCAAATACCTCCAGTTTTTGCTTGTCTTCCGCGCGCACAGTCCAGCATTCACAACCACAAAGGAGAACAGACCGGACAGATGCACGGTGCACACTAATCTTAGTGGCGATGGAGAAGTCGCGTCGGATCCATAGTCATTTTCTAAGGCTTGAGGAAACCCAGCGGGCAGCATCCATTTGGGAGACAATGTCATCCTTACTCTGTCCATTCGGCATCAGCCTCACTCCGAGGTATTGAAAGTTGCCCATTTCCTCAACTTGACAGCCATCAGTTTCGAGAAGTGCCTTCTCCTGATCAGGGATGCAGCTTGAAAACACCTTAGTCTACCCAGCGTTTATGGATAAACCGACCGACTTAGCTACCTCGTTCACCCGCGACACCATAGACTGCAGATCACCAAAACTTGAAGCAAGTAAGGCAGTATCATCGGCATAGTCGAGATCAATTCGTCAGTGTCCGGGTGCAAACTCGAAACCGTCACTTTCGTGTAGGACCCTCCCGAGAATCTATTCAATAGCGCAGTTGAACAGAATGGGCGACAGGATACAACCCTGTCGAACGCCAGACCGAATACCGAACGCTTGGGAAAGATTCTTATGGACTAAAACTCGCGCAGTGGTTGAGCGGTAGTAGGCCTCGATCATGGCGCCGATTTTCGGCGGTACACCATCTAGTGCCATTATCCGCCAAAGGGACTCACGACGGATGGAATCGGACGCGGCGACAAAGTAAACAAAGCAGACGGCTGTCGGTTGCTGGTAACCATGGCAAAATTCGAGAATGCACCTCAGTGTAAATACCTGGTCCGTCCGCGCATTCACGTCCATAAGGAAATCCGGCTTGATTGGGCCTCGTCCAGGAGTCATGTGCAGCATGGAATCGCCTGAGAAGGGCAATAACGAAGATCTTCGCAGCAACGTCGATGACGCTTATGCCGCGGTAGTTCTGGCACCTTGTCTTATCTACCTTCTTGAGGATAGCACAGCGATGCTCGGGTCTTCGTCATCAGGAGTAACCTCTTTCTCTCCACGCTTGTTCAATCACCTCATGGGGCCAGGGCGTCCGAGTGTCGGCGCAAGACTTGTAGATTTCAACAGATATACCGTCCTCTCCGGGTACCTTGTTGCGTAGCTTTCGCATGGCATCTGCGACTTCTCCTTCAGAAGGGGGTCGCATGACACCGCATGGGTTGGAGAGGGAATAAACTCTGCTGCAGAGGGGAGCAAGGGTGTGGTGAGTTAGGTATCGAGGTTGAGAGTGTTCGAAGTGCTTACGCTAACGCTCGACTTTGGCCGAGTTATCAACAATAAAGACGCCATTCAAGTCGCGAACAGGGTCACTCAGTGTAGAGGGCTTACCACTAACTTGATGGATAAGTTGGTAGAGTTTTCGAAAGCCACCGACGTTCAAGGCCTGTTCCACGGAGGTCGCCATTTCAGCCCAATATTGATTCCGGTCATCCCTGGTCGAATTGGCCGTCATCTTCCAGAGTTGGCGGAAGGAATCATCATTACGGGACCTGGCTCGAGTCATCTGTGCAGACAACTGCAGGGTTTTTCCGACGATCCAGTCACTGCGGTGTCGCTGAGCATATCGAAAGACTTTCTCAGCTGCACTATAGACTGACGCTTTCAATGACGACCACTGATTACTGTCATCTTCGTGGGCTCGGGTTTTAAAACAGAACCAGATTCCTCTGCTCAGGGCCTCGACAGTGCTGGCTTTCCGGATTTGTGCGACGTCAAGGTGTCTAAGCCGTGGCATTTCGGGTGCGGATGAGAGGTGAACCTTCAAGTGTGTACGAATGAGGACATGGTCCGACCTATGGGCGTTACCAGTCTCGGCACCACACATCGATCTGCTATCGTAAACCCAGCTGCGGAACCTTGAGCTGACTAGCATGTAGTCAATCTGGCTGGCCGCATGACCGTCGTTTAAATACCAGGTCAGGAGTTGTTTTTTCGATGTTGGCAACGCGTGTTGGTGACAAACAGTTGGTCCTGATCAACAAACTTCAGCAAGCTCTCACCATTTTCACATGGGAACCAATTCCAAAGCCGCCAAGAAGTTGACTGTTGGTAGAGTCGCCAGGTCCAGTTTTGCCATTCCAATCCCCGGCGTCAATCAGCGGATTGCGGCGAGGGAGTCTGTCAACTAATGCTTGTGGCTGCGAGTAAAATGCCTCTTTATCACGCTGTTCGACAGCTGAAGTTGGTGAGCACGCAGAGACGATGGAGATTTTCGTGAATTGAGCCTTTGGTCGGACGTAGGCCATCCGGCCATTGACTGGCTCCCAAGCAAGTAACGCGAAATCCGCTTGTTGCGAGAAGACAATCGCCACACTGTGTCCACCAGATGAGTCGCGTGGGCTGCTGTGGTGAAGTGTGCTTCGACTACAGGTATCTTTTATCCTAGAGAGCCTGAGTCAGGAAGTCCAACTTTAGACAGACAACAAAAATCCACGTTGTACTAATGAAGGCTGCGCGCAGTCAGACTTTGGGTACCAGTGTCTACGAACGTTTGCACATTCTAGCATCCAATACTAAGAGCCCTTTCCAGCTCGCATACTATTTGTACGCACCACTGGACCGGGGTTGCGAAGCGCGTTGGTTCCCGCGGACGTCGTAGCATGGGTCGTAATACTACAGTCGGACATATTTAATGAGGTTTTTTTGGAATTTTGGATACAGGCGGATGCCCAATATCCGCTTTGATTGTTCGTTCAAGGTTGTTTTCCCTAGCATTTTGACTTAGAATCCTAACCGCAAGGCAGCGGTCGCAAGCAAGCTTATTTACTGGCGGTTAACGGTCGCCATGTCACAAATACCGTTATCGGGCTTTGCGGCTTTTTTTATAAGGCTTTAAGGGTGCCAGATCTCAGGCCTCCTCACTCTGGTAGCACTGTCATTGCTGGTCCGCAACTGCTTATTCGTCAGACCTGGGTCTGCCTGCCTCGCAACTAACCTTCATTGAAGGCCGTTCCACTATCCGCCACCTATGTACGCGTCGGTTAGCCAGCAGCTAGACTGACGGACAATCCGTCTTCCCTGTGGGCAACCCGTCTAATACTAATCAGTCATTTTTTAAGTTTTTTATGGAGGCATCTTACTATCGAACAAGGGGCTACTTTGAAGCATTTAAGATATGTCCAAGGTGTCTCTTAGAACAGTAGTCCACTTATCAAACTTTGTTTCTTCCAAAACGACAAGAGAAATAGCCATTGTGGGAATAAAGCGCGACTCCTTGTATTCACAGCCAGTTCGCTTCCGAGGAGCACTTCAATGTCTCTACAAAGGGACTTCGTCCCGTGCGGTTGACAGTTGTGAAGAAATACCCGGCCAGTATACGTATTTGGTGACGGGACCAATTAAAGCAACATCCATTACATTCTCTCTTGACTCACTCATCTCCCTCCAATGTCCACACAAATGTGGGCATGGGGGCAACGGCTAAGATAGCTAAAAACCAAGTGTACGCGTGCCAGACCCAACATCCGGTGTTCTCTTCGCCTCTGTCAGGCTACAATAGGGGCGACTTGAATCCCAAGTAGGTGAAATTATCGAAAATGCCGCATAAAGAAGCAACGGTCACAACCTGAACAACAGCCCTGAGGGGAAGCGAGTCAGCACATCAACTGGCGGCCTTCTTATTCACGACTCCTAGATTGCCGCATGGGCACACAGCACACACTGTCAACAGGCGAAGTCAAGCCGATGAGCCAACAGTGTCCTAAGGCGGATGTTACGCCAGTTCCCCCAAACCCCCCGGTTAAGAGATCCCCTCATATTTCTTTTGCTGTTTTTCGGCCACGATTTTAGTTGTCGTAGGAGACGCCCTGTTGTCCCGTCTCCCGGCGTCTGCCTCCCAGTCAGCGGCCTATACCAGCTAACTGCTTTTAATTATCTTCCCCTAGCCTCCTCACGAAGACTGTGTGAAAATATCACCATTGCTTGACTGCTCTTACTGCGTACATGCTTTGGTTGCCCTCTCTATCTTAAAAATGACCTGACCTGAGGATAATCAGTGAAAACAGTAGTCTTTTCGTCAAGTATTCCTTCTTTGCAAATGACACAAAGCAAGCGAATCTCCAACGAAAGTGCGTCGGCTCGAACGTTGGTATCTCATTCCTGCCATGTTGCTTGCTTATAATCGTGTACAGGGTCCGAAATAGTACAGAGAATTGTGAAGTTTGGTGCGTGGGTGTACGCGAACTCCCATGTCTGTGAAAATAGGCTGCTTTCATTGCCATCATCATCACCTTCACCCCATTAGTGATAGTGTACGCACTACTATGATTAAAATTGTCATTTATGCTACTATTGTAACTACTACTACTACTACTACTACTACTACTACTACTACTACTACTACTACTACTACTACTACTACTACTACTACTACTACTACTACTACTACTGCTACTATTAGTGTCAGTTCAGCCGTCGCATGCGATGATGTCCACCGTTTGTGTCCCGCAACACGATGGGCACAGGACGGTTACCTGCGAGTGGACAGGTTTGAAGTGATAGAGGGCTTGCGCAGTGTATGTCGCACATATCCCCCCTTCCACCTGGGTTCTATGACAACGCAGCGACAGAACGGCCGCAGACAGGCACAAAGACACTGGCTGGAAATTTGAACAGCCAGTATACGCGTGCCACACGCGGCCCGGCGACAACACAATGTACTCGGTTTTCACAAAAACGGGATTGTTCGGGTCCCACCTGGGTGCGAGTGTCATTGACGCCGCATTTAGAAGGGGACACTGCAGTCTGAATCGTAGTCATCGGTCAAGTCAGTTGATGAACGCACACAGTACTGACCGCGGAGAACGAGTTACCCCGCCTACTACTCCCACCATCCCTGTTCCACCGTCACTGATCCGAGCGGCGCATCCCCGTTGTGTGTGGCACGCGCAGTCGGGTTCTTCAACTGTCACCGCGCCCACTCACGCATCAGACGGGTGATCGTCCCGGACAGAGGGAACTTGTCTGAGAAAAGGCAGGGAGGGTAAAGTTAACATTCTCAGCGCATATTCGCCCTCGAATCTATCAGGGTGCTCCAAAATCCGTGTCGCGGAAGGCTGTCAACTGAAGTGATAATTCTGTCTTCTTCTCGGGACGGATAATCAGGCTGCATTTGCTCCTTCCTAATGTAAATAAATAAATTATTTTATAAAAAGACCCCTGGAGGTCGCATCATAGCAAGCAAATACAAATCTTCCAGCAAATTTCAGGGCAATTAGACTGATTCTATACGTTATTAAGTTTTCGATCGTAGATTAAACACATACATGTAAAAATGCCCAGCGAACAGTGAAAATACTCCTTGTGAAAAAAACTAGATAAGTATGAATTGGCTAACTTTTAAGGAGAAAAAACTTCAACTCATGAAAAGGGCAATATGCGGGTCGAACAAGACTGGCCTGCATGTGGTATTTATAAGAGATTCAAAACGTAGATCGTCAAGGCAGAGCTTCCCAAACCGAATGAGGTTATCCTCCTCAAATTGGCAAGACAGAGAAACTTAGTCGCGATCGGACGCTGTCCGCTTAGAGTCTAGCCGAAGATGGGACATTAAGCACTAGGGCGGTCATTAGGGCGTAGAGGAGAGAATACGACCCTTAGACCTCTTCGCTGCACGACCAAACTACTAGCAAATGACGAAAACAGAGAATTCACGCCATGATCGTAAACAGACCATTTGGGGTTGAAATGGTGATTTAACATCAAGATCTACGGGCAAGGTTTCGAAATCACGAGAGCAGAGTTGAATTCTGATGAGTGTGACCCTCATAGCGCACTCACTCAGCTGTGATCCCGACCACCCCCTCTTTATACTGTTGTGTGAAATCTTAGTCCTTTGTGGGTGGACCGCGGGTGTGGTGGTACGCCTAGGTTTGGGCTCACGCCGTGCCAGCCCCTTGCGTCAAATCCAACCTCCGGTCTTATTGAATCTGTCTTGACACCGGGACCAGGCTGATGAGGGGGCAAAGAGAGGAGAGGATACAGCAAAATTCTGCCATGACTGTAAACTACCGCGCAAGTCAAGACCTCGTCGCCCAACCCGTTGTGCAGCACACAGTGAACATCGTCGGGATCGACAGTCGAAACATCAGTTCACTAATTCCGCTAGCCTTTTAGTACTGTTAACTTTTACCGTACTCAGTCAGTCAGTCAGTGTATTTGAGGGAAATAGGCTTAGGCCTTTGAACTCCCTATTTGTACATAAAAAATCGATAAACGAGCAAAAATGTGAAGAAATTACAGCATTAAGTGAATGCATACATTGATTCACATATGTCACTAGTCACATGGTTAAAAAGTCACATAGTCCGCTTGTTGCTGCAGCATATATCTGTCAAGGCGACATTTAAATGTGTCCACAGATTGAGACATAACAACCGTATCGGGCAGGTTATTCCACGGTTCCACGACACGGTTGGAGAAGAAATATTTTCTCACATTCAGTCTACCCTGTGGCACACGTAGCTTGAAGGGATGTCCCCGGAGGTGAGTTGTAGTGGCGAGTTGGAAAAAGTCATCGCACCGAAGGGCACAATCCAAGCCGCGCACGATACGGAAAGTTTGTATCATGTCTCCGCGCAACTGCCTATAACTCAGAGGATAGAGATTAAGGTTAGTTAAGCGGATCTCGTATGGCAGTGCACTTTGACCTCTTACTAATTTTGTTGCTCGTTTCTGCACCCTTTCGAGCAGATCGTAATCCTGATGCGTCCACGGTCTCCAGGCCTGAATTGCATATTCGAGATGGGGCCTTATAAACGTGCCGAAGACTTTGGTGAAGCAGTCTTCATCGAAAACTACGAATGCCCGCTTGATGGCATATAGCATTGACGTTGCGGCCTTGGCCGCCTTACAGCATTGTGTAGAAGGCTTTAGGCTGTCTGCAACCCAAACTCCGAGATCTTTCTGAGTTTCTGCTTCTCGGAGTGGCATTCCGTTCAGATGGTATTGCCGCGTACTAGGGCTCTGATTTCCAATGCGCAGAATGGTGCATTTGTTCAAATTGAAGGACAAGAGCCATCTGCGGGACCACTCGTCCAATCGACAAAAATTTTCTTGGAAGTTGGTCTCATCGGCAGCATTCTGGATGACTTTCCAGATTTTTATGTCATCCGCAAACATGGCACAATCACAATCCAACCCATCTACGCAATCATTGATGAACAAGAGAAAGAGGGTTGGTCCGAGCACCGAGCCTTGTGGGACCCCACTCTCTATGAATGTGCACCTTGATTGCTGTTGTTCTACGCAGACAATTTGGGAGCGGCCGACAAGGAAATTTTCGATCCATTTGAGAAGTTTGCCACCGATGCCCATAATTCTCAACTTGTGTAGGAGACGCTGGTGCGGAACACTGTCAAACGCCTTCCGAAAATCAATATAGGCAACATGCACGGTGTGTTTTGCGTCCAGTGCTCGTGTCCAACTTTGCATTGTGTATAGCAAGTTCGTAACACATGATCTTCCCCTACGGAAACCATATTGTGCATTGGACAAGAGGTTGTGGGTTTCCAAGTAAGCCATCAACTCCTTTTTGATTGTTTTCTCCATCACTTTGCAGCAGATTGATGTCAGACTGACGGGTCTGTAGTTTGTCGCCTGAGCACGACTACCGCTTTTGTAAAGGGGTGTAATGTGGGCCGTCTTCCAGTCTGTGGGAAGAATTCCAGCATCAAACGATTTTTGGTACAGAAAGGATAGTGGCTTGGCCAGCTGTTGGGCAAGCTCAAAGAGCAGCTTTGCTGGAATCTCGTCCGGACCGGGAGATTTACATTCCTTCAAGCTTTTCAGTTCTTCCAAAATCGCTTCTTCTCGAAACACAATATTTTCGATTGTGGGATCTCTCATGTTCTCAGAATTAGATGGGGTAAAGTCTGCTTCTCTGGTGAAAACGGATCGGAAAAATTGAGAAAAGTGCTCAGCCTTATTTGTACTGTCCGATATCTCCAAGCCGTCATCACCCCTCATAACAGGAATGGGATTCCTGTTACGTGTGCTTTTCCGCAAATAGCTGTAGAGTAATTTCGGATTTTTAACGGCTCGGTGGAGCAAATTACTCTCAAAATCCCGTCGCCTCCTGAAAATCAGGCTTTTCACCTTATTTCTTTGAATTCTGTATTCTGTAAACGCTGCATTATTGTTGTTCTCGCGAAATTTTTTCCCCAACCTACCTTTCTTGTTGATCTCCCTTTTGAGTTCTCGTGTAAGCCACTGAGGGCGGTTGGATGTCCTAGGCTTTGATAAGGGACAGTGGTTCTTCATTAGATGCAGTAAACGATCCTTGAATAAATTCCAGTCCTCGTTAACGTTTCCGGAGAAGAGAACATCCCAGTCTATTTGTGATGCCTCAGCTCTCATTTGGCGAAAGTCCCCTTTCCATATATTTGGCCTCGTATTGCCTTTTGCACACGGTTCAGAATACAGCAAGTACTCGCATAAAAGCACTGCATGATCACTTCGACCGAGCGGGGGTAGGTAGTACACCTCGTCTATACTGTCAGGATCTTTGGTAAAAACGAGGTCCAGACAACTGGCCTGTTGCCCTCCACGAGCTCTAGTTGGAAACAGGACATGTTGCGTGAGTAGAGCTTCTAGAGTTGTCCTTAGTAGATGGTAATCGAAGGTATAAATCCATTAGGATTAATGGGTCTGCTGATGCTGCTGTTTCTAATACACTACTAATGCCACTGCTACTAGTGTTGCTACTGCTAATACGAGTATTATTGAGATTGTTACCAACACAACAATTGCTCGACTACCATCTCATCCGTCAATGTCAGTAGTTTCCACTGAACCAAGAAAAGATCAGCAGTGACCCGATTTCTTCATCGCGTTTGTCGTGGCTGGCCACAAATAAGAAGGCCGAAGGACTGAACTGCAACGCATGACAGTTCGTTCGTCGGGAACGGTGAGGTACACCGTGTGCCCCACATCAGGGTTGACGTAGGGGTTGTGAGGGGCGCGTGAATCAGTCCACAGTAATAGTGCACTTTCACTGTATATACCACACCCTGCTGATCTTCGCCCACCTGAAATTGCTGTCGAGACAACGTCAAGGGGACCGGAGAAGAAGTCGTGTGCAGTAAATAACAAGGCTAAAGAACCCGCTTTTGCATGCCGCACATATCCTGTCCTCTGTATAGCACAACAGGATTTCAAAGTTAGGGTAGACGGCTTGTATCACGCGTGCTCGGAAGTGCCATAGATGCCATGTGAATATGGAGACATGAAGGCTAACTGGGCGGTTAAATCGTGGTGATCGAAGACGTTCAGTTCAGTTCAGTTTATTGAGGAAAATAGGCGTAAGCATTTTGGTATCCTGTTGCCAATGTAAAAATGTGTGGTATACTGATAAATGTTCTGCGCTAAAATATTTCAAACACGCCCATAATGGTAGGACAAAAGGGGAACGAGTTACAATGGGTAAGCTCTACTTCTCATCGCTCTTGGTCATTTTGGAACATAAATATGCCAAGATTCCTTTTAAAACTTTGTATAGATGGTGACATCACAACATCTGCGGGAAGGGCATTCCATGGTTAGATCCCTCGAACAGAGAAGGAGAACTTCAGCACACCCAGCCTTGGCTGCTGAGTGTGCTGTTTTAACGGGTGACCTCGGAGGTTGGTCGTGGTAGCAAATTCAAAAAGTCCTCAAAGGCCAGACTGCAATCCAACCCCTTAACAATGCGGAAGGCTTGCAAGAGATCCCCGCGAAGTTGTCTATAACTCAAAGGAAATAGGTTTAGATTTACTAGGCGTGTTGCATAAGAAAAGGAGCTTTGACCCCTAACCATCTTCGTGGCTCTCCTCTGGACTATTTCGAGGCAGTTTGGATCCTCAACCGCCCACGGCCTCCGGCCTTGTATGCCGTACTCTAAATGCGGTCGGACGAATGTTCCGAATGTCTTAGAGAAAGCTTCTTCGTCAAAGTCCATAAACGCACGCTTGATGGCGTACAGTACGGACATTGCGATTTTTGCCACTCTCGAGCTGTGGGCGGATGGCTTTAGGGAACTGGTCGTCAGCACACCGAGGTCTTTTAGGGCTTCGGCAACTTTTAAGGCTGCACCGCTCAGAAAGATGTCTCTTGTGCTGGCAGATCTGGCTGTGTTGCCTAGGCGAAGGATGCTACATTTGGCAACGTTGAACCGCAGGAGCCAACGGTTTGACCACTCCTCCAACCGATTCAGGTCCATCTGCAGTCTGTCTTCGTCGGCAGGACCCCGAATTACACTCCATATCTTCATGTCATCGGCAAAAATAGCTAATTCGCAGTCTAAAGCTCTTGCAGCATCTTCCACGTAGATAAGGAACAGAATAGGTTCCAGTACTGAACCCTGGGGGACACCACTCTCGGCCATATCAGGGTCTGATTTTCCCCGACCGATGCACACAACCTGGTGTCGACACACAAGGAAGTTTTCGATCCATTTAAGGAAGTTGCCACTGGTCACTATTTTTTAAAGTTTGTGGAAGAGCCTCTGGTGTGGCGCAGTGTCGAACGCCTTCTGGAAGTCGATGAAGGCTATGTGGACCGCGTGCCTGTCGTCGAGAGCTCGGGTCCAGCTCTGGAGAAATTGCAGCAAGTTTGTCGTGCAGGATCTTCCTTTCCGGAACCCATGTTGGTATTTCGATAGCAGGCCGTGAACTTCCAGGAATTGCATCAGTTCACTCTTTATGAGCCTTTCTATAACTTTGCAGAGAATGCATGTCAGGCTTATGGGCCTGTAATTTGTCGTCGCTGCCCTGTTACCTCCTTTGTGTAGCGGAGTAATATGCGCCAGCTTCCAATCGACAGGAGGTGTTCCAGTATCAAATGACGTTCGAAAGAGCACCGACAAAGGCACAAAGAGCTCACTGGAAAGTTCCTTGAGAAGCTTGGGTGGAATCTCGTCTGGTCCTGGTGACTTCGATTCGTTCAATGCTTCTAATTTTCTTTCGGACCATGCCTTCTGAGAAGAGCATATTACTGACGCTTGGAGTCGGCAGTTCTTCTGCGGAGGGAAGAAGGAACCTTGCCTCGTTTGTGTAGACTGATTGGAAGAACTGTGAAAAATACGCAGCTTTATCCCTACGATCAGCAATCTCAATGCCACCTGTAGTACCTATTAAGCCGATTTGATGCCTGTTTCTTGTACTTCGTCGGAGGTAACTGTAGAGTAATTTTGTGTTCTGCGTTGCTTTTTGTAGGAAGTTCTTCTCGAATTCCCGCCGAGTTTTCATGATCAGGTTCCTCAGTTTGTTCCTCTGTGTCTTGTATGTGTTGAAATATTCAGCTTGTCCAGTGACGCAGTTTTTTCTCCACAATTTGTGCTTCATGTTGATTTCTTTGTCGAGGTTGCTATTCAGACACCCAGGGGGTTTATTCAGTCTTACACTAGTCAGTGGGCAGTGGTTATTGATGAGCTGCAGAAGGACATTCTTGAACAGCTCCCAGTCATCGTTGGCATTTCCCGTAAACAATGAGCCCCAGTCGAGACCAGAGAAGTCTGCCCTCATCTGTTTGAAGCCGCCTCGCCAAACATTCTGTCTTTTTTGGTCTGGAGAATGCGAAATGGAGAATAACGAATAATCCCACATCAGCATTATGTGATCACTTCGGCCAAGAGGCGGCATGGGGGTGATCTCGTCTATGCTGTCTGGTGTTTTCGTAAAAACCAGATCCAGGCAGTTTGCCCTTTGTCCTTCACGTGTTCTCGTTGGGAACATTACATGTTGTGTGAGGCACGCCTTTAATGTTTTGTTCAGCAGACGGTAATCGAATGCCGATTTTGGGCCTGACGCTTGGAGGGCATTCCAGTTTGTTCCTGGTGCGTTGAAGTCGCCCATGATCATGATGATAGGTCGACTTGAAAATTTCTCCAACTGCCCCAATATTTGAGTGTCTGCGATTTGGTCTTTCCTAGGTGGTCGGTAGACAGTGAGGACATCGAGACACGGGGAACCAGTAACCTTGATGGTCAACCAAATAGCTTCGTGCCGTACACAAACTTAGTGGTGTTTTCCGACACTGCCAGGGCCTCATTTACATACACAACTATATCACAGTCCTGACAACGTTTCCTATCCCTCCGATAAATTTGGTATCCAGGCAAGACTACTTCGCTATCGCTAGTATTTCCGGACAGCCTTGTCTCTGTTACTGCTAAAACATCTGGAGACAGTTTGGCAAGACAAAGTTTTAGCTCGTCTAGTTTCGATATGAGGCTTTGGGCATTAGTTTACAAGCACTTCAGTTTTACACCAGCCGAATTTCCCGTTGCATTTGTTACTTTTTTGAGCATTACTCCGTTATCTCGAACGCCATGTTCTCTGGGCTGATGGGTTCCATTTATATGCGTTGCTTCAGTCAGATCCCTGGACATTACGCGCTTACTTGTGTTGTCGCCTTGAGAGGGTGGTTCAACGAAGGTATCTGTGCTAGCTGAGTAGCTGTCGTCGTTCGTAGTATTACAGGCTGGTTCCGCTGAAACGGCATATATTTCCGAACTACCTTACCCTTGAAGATAGCCAGATTGTGTTCGCCACCCTTCAGTCTCTTTTAACTCCAAGACAAGTTCCCGGCGTTTGAGGTGTTCCGGTGGTGAATAGTCCGGTTTAAAAAAACCTGTTTGTGCGTGTTTCTGAGGTCGTTTTTTAGAAAGGATCAACCATGTACCCCACAGCATGCTTAGAGCAGTCGCGAGGATTTGTGCATGAGTTGGCTTAGAATGATAATAGACTAGCGCTGAATTGACCGCACTCTCCCTCCTTCCTAACCCGTATCAACTGCGAAAATAGAGCCAAGGAGACAGCGGATGGTTTGCACGGCGCATACTCGCGCATAGGCGTTCCGCCAAGCTCTCAGGTCCAAGTCATACATTGAACAGGATTTTATACAAGACAAAAAGTGGGTGGCTCGGATCCAGACTGGCGCGGCGTGCTGCGCCTGCAGAAACATCCCGAATGTTGACATTAATTATGGGTGCGCTTTCCCGGAAACCTGACCTAGCCCCTGTGTTGGTCCAACTCGTCTACAGGGTGGCCCGTTCAAGGGGTCAATTCACATAAGCACACATAGGACTGTTTGCGATATTTAGGCTGTACAATCGGCTGGCAACCTTCAAACTCACGATGTTAAATTCTTCGTTATCTGTTCAAGTGCATCAAATCTACTATAATGAGGAGTGCGTTTAAGTGCCGTGGGGATGGGTTGCCCGGTGTCGGTCCCACTTTCTATTTCGTCCTTCATACACCAGTCCTCTGGTGCAACGACTGGGCGCAAGTGGTCCTCCATAGAGCGCATGAAGTTTTCACCCAAAAAGAGTGAGTGACGCGAACACAATATCCGGTGGAGATAATTCAATAATGCCCTTGCTGGTTCGTTCGAGAGTTAACTGGCCTTCCCGGTGACCCTGTCAGATAGAATCAGGCACTCAATTATAGAAATAAACTCAACCTTTCGACCATCTCTACTGAACACATTCGACACTTAATAGGAGCATCAGTTGACACAGGGCTTCACTATCTTATACGCTATTTATAAAGATATGGAATGTTAAAATCGCACGCGCTTGTCAGGATAACGAAGGAAAGTAAAACTGGCATTGGCAAATCTAAGTCGATTAAGGCGAAAAGTTGACGGAAAGAATCATTCGCTAGTTGAGATAGCTATAAAAAACTTACGGCCTAGGAATTCACATTCTAGTAAAGAATTTGTTCCAACCATATCTCCTATGGCTCAGTTTCCTTTTTCAAAACCGGTCACTTCCGTTTACTATCCACCCATTTGCTTTTATTTCCAGTTATCCGCTTTCTCACTTATTTAAGGGATAGGAATCTTGTCGCATCTTTCGTCTGCAAGCGTTAGGTGCTGTGTAAGCTGCAAACTTGATGACACTTCCCCCAAGTACTTTCTACTTATTGAGCACTCCAGTGTTTGGGATTGGCCTCGGTCCATGTTAGAATGCTTGTCGTAGAGCAAGAGGTATCCCACATCCTAATGACATGTACGATTTAAAGGGTACATTATGAAATTGTTATTTGAATTCTGACTCGCGTGACCTTTAACTTTGTTAGAATATTCTAAATGCCTGCGCTCGCTAACTGAGCGCGAATGGTCCCAATTTTTTGTAAGCGGTTGTTAGCGCAATGTGTAATGCCCCTGGTGGCCTTTTATCATCTGTGCTTACTCCACTTCGAATATTTTCACGAAGGTTCACTGATGTCCATGCTCAGCAACTTTCTCCATTTAAGAGGGCCCTGATTGTTTCCAAACTTTCAGCATACGCGTACGAACACTCACGTTCGTCCTTCACCGACGAGGCAGCATTTGAAAAAAGTGTATGTATACTAACAATTTGAATCCCTTATGCGTATGATACACCAGGCTTCGTGTCTGAACCTTTTTTCAGCCTGTCCCATTCGGGATTGCCATTCCCGGGCAATTAGGCCTAATAACATTTCTGGTCAGAATCTGCGCCGAATCTAAGCAGAGGTTTAGAATAACCTACATACAATCTGCGCCTGGGTTGTCACTCTTTTTAAATCTGTTGTAAAATCTGTTCAGAATGTGCGCCGATGTCCTGCGCAGAATCGGCGCATAGGCTCAGCACAGAATATGCGCAGAATATTCTCATCTCGCGTCGTAACCGAGCAACCCCCCATTTTTTTCTCAGTAGCTCTCCTCTAAAGCCGTTTCCTCTCCTTTTGATGTCCGCAATGCTAATCTACTATCCTGTAGGCAGTAGAAATAAAGACGACTACTGTGATTGTTGGTTAATAAATTTTTTTTAAAACACAATCTATAAAGTACAGGCATATATTGAAAAATGTGAAAAGTCCGGTACAGGATAGTTCTTATAGAGGAACGTATAATTGTCTTGGTAATATGTCCAAGCCGTTCTACGACTGTGATGAGGAGCCGGATGGTCCAGGACGGGGTGTATTGTCGTCATCGTCCACAACTCCTAAAAGAAAGTACGCTCAACTTAAGTTGTGTAATATAAATATGAATTGCAGTAGGTCGGATTATAAAGGGGAACCTAACCGTCCAATTGGCGTGACGTTGATAATTTGTTTGTCTGTTTTTACAGGCGATCATGGGCCCTTCTGAATGCGATCCGGAACATTTTCACCAATTGTTGGCGATCCGAATTGTGGTCGCCATTCCATTTGGTAAAGACATCTGTTCAGGCGTTTTTTATTGCGGAAACTAATGCTTGTCATACCCAGGACTACTGCGTAGGCAGTGGAGCCAAAGAAGGCGCGCTTGCCCTGTTGTCGTCCATAAAACGTTAAGTAGTTCTTTATCTCGTCTTCAAACAAGCCACTGAAAAGTCGATCGACGAATGCGCTTAAGTTCTCTCCTCCAAGACTGGAA